GACCTAGCCGGTAAGCGTTCCCTAGTCACACCCAGTTGCGGCAAACAGACGCCACCCCTTCCCGCCTCAGACACCCGCTGCTCCGAGAAGCCTCAGTCCACACGTGCCTCCTGTACTGTGAACACTTCTGTGATTACCTCTTCTGTTTGTCCTCCCACGTGCATTCCACATGGCTCCAGAACGTAAGCCAGCCTCATCAAAGGCAAATATTACTAGCAAAGACTCTAAAGTGACCAAGAGATAAGAATAGTGATGACCTTAATGGAAAAAACAGTTTTATTGGACAAGCTCAGAGGTGGTATGACCTATGGCTTGAGATGTGGTGAAGACTGACAACTCATTTGAGTCTTTTGTCAGAATACAAGTCTTCAAGTGGAGGAATGTGGGTGGAAGAGGACTGGCTGGCTGGCGTGACTGCTTGAGGGCGGGCAGACGCCGGGACAGCAGGGCTGGCAATGCGGGTGCTGCCGACCTCAGCGAAATATAATTTTTTTTTTTACTTGTAAATAAATTTTTGTTGTATATAACTGTGTTTACGTTTTTCTATTATTATACTACAATATGATAAGTTTCAAATAATGATGTTAGTAAATGCCGGTACAGTGCATCAGTGAGACCACTGGGCCGTGAGTGGAGAGCATGGCGTAGTTAAGTGCATGACCTACGTAAGCTGTTTGGTGGTCACAGGTACAGTGATTCCTAAAAGAGTATTTGCGGTTTTGGCTTTTCGCGGGGGTTTCAGAAATGTAATTCCCGCAAAAAACACAGGATTACTGTACACTGTATTTTGCAGGGTGTGTTTAGAAATGTTATTGTTTACACGGCGCTCGCCTCCTCCCAGCTGGTAGGCAGACCTGGTGCCGGGGGGAGGGTGAACTGCTGTCCTCTGGCCCTGTGTCGGCACACTTGCTTCCACTACCCTCACCGTGAATATAACCCATGTAGGCCCGTCCCCGTTCCTCCGTGACTCTTCCCTTCTCTGCTTCAAGCCCTGCAGGAGCTTCTTGTGCTGTTCCCTCTGCATTACCGTGCGATCTGGATGAATGAATACACTGCGAGATGCCTTACTCCATGCTAAGTTTTTTGCCTGCCGAATAACCTCCTATTTCTCCTCCTCACTCACTAGTGTGATCCTGAGGGGGCGAGGCTTATCCCCCTGCTTTTGTCCCAGCCTCCTCACATCCTGAGGGGTTGATGGCATCTACAAAACCTCTGTACAAATATTCTTAAACTGCATCTTATTGTGTGTTATCTTACTCTCAGTTCCCTCCACCTGGCTCTCAGGGACTCCAAAAACTATTACATTGTTCCTGCGCTGGAAACGCGTATGCGTATGCTTTGTAGCACTGAATGCAAGACAGTGCCACAGGCATTCACAACACCCCTGGAGTCCTTGAATGTGTATGACAGTCACTTTTGCAACAGGCTGAAGCCTGCATTCAAGAAGAGGGCTGGAACTTTGAACATTTACTGTAAAATCCATATCAGATTGCATATGATTCTAAATAAATTGTACAGTACTAGCAACACTGGATACTGTATTTCATTTATAAGCCATAGATTTTATTACATTCCAACCCCAACTGTCATATATTATAACTCTGAAACTATTGGGTATTGACACTATGGTCACGAAGTCATTTATCCATTTATATGCCTCAGGAATACAACCCCAGAATTATGAAACATAATTCTGAAGCACCCTGTATAATTGGCTATATATTTTACTGGCAATTCCACTATGAAACAGCACACTAACAAAATTATATTCTCTACACAGGCCATTTATGTCCAAGAGAGAACAGTATGGCAATCATCCTAATTTTTTTGTATACTGTACTGTACTGTTAGTGACAGCTCATTACCCTGAGTCTAAGCATTATACAATGAAAAATATTTATTGTCCACTTCACAGCCCATTACAGTGTATTTTCCTTCTTCAGTGGGACATCTTATTTACCATGTTTTTCTGTGATTCATCCCAGTCAATTAGTTTCATGATTAGATATTTTTGAGTTACAATGAATTTTCTTACTCTACCTGTATTTGTATGATTGTTTTAATTTTTTAAAGGTACTGGTATACAGTATGTACACAGGAAGCACTTCTCTATATACAATCCCATATATAGTCCTAGTCCAGTATGGCTCACAAGTACACCATACACTTAATGCCAGATTCTGCACCATCTTCATTCACCCTCCATTCCATAAAAGAATGAAAATTTTAGTTTTCTCTGATTGCCTCAACTTATTCAGTATACGGGCCCCAAGCAGTTATCTCGTCAAAGAAATGCTGTCACATGCTATAATTATCAGCTCCTGGGGTTCTGTATACTAATCTTTTCAAGTGGAAAAATTTTAAGAAAATGATTGTAAGAGTTTCCTTGATCTATTACAAAAAAATAAAATAAAAATTTCAGTGTCAAGAAAAACATGAAAAATGACATGATGAATGTTTTTTCCAGAGTGCTGAACAGGCTATGCGACTTGAAATAATACAGGGAGTAGAATGATACAGTGGAACATGAACTCCTGCTCAGTCACTGGTTAGCACAGGATTGTTATGGAGCAGCTTGTGGTCATTTGTCTAGGTAAATACTGCATTAAAATGGTGAAACAAAGAGTAATTTATACACAACTTAAAAATAATAAATGTAATAGTACTACAGTACAGTATTTGTCAAATTCAAAGTAAATTATTTCAGGTGCATACAATATCATCTAATATATTTTGCAATGAAGTACAGTATGCAAAACTAAGTGTTAAAAAAATATGCAAAACTAAGTGTAGAAAAAGCATGCTCTAGCTATGATGCCAACCCCCATGGCCATACACACAACATCAAGGTCTCACCAGGTGGGGGTTGTTAGGAAGCATGCAGGTTACTTCTCCAGTCACTACTAGGATGGTGGGGGAGCATCCTTCCCTTTGCTGAAGTGTACTATTGATCTGATCCCCTTCACTGAAGTCTAGGAAGACAGATGACAATAAGGACCTTGATAAGCATTTAAAATTTGACTAATTCATATATCATGTGGCTCAGAAAGATTCTTCAACACAATGTATGTTTCGAGTAAAACTTTAGATTGGATATTATTAATCATTTTAAAAAGTGATCCCAAATATTCTATGAAACTCACTCCTAAATTTAGTTAACAATAGAGGTAACCTATCCCACACAAACCAGAATCTTTACTCAACATTTATTCTAACACTCTAACTCTTAGTGAATTTCTATAAAGTATTCCATACAGAATAAGTTACCTAAAATACTAATATTTATTTTGTTTCTAATTATCCAGTTATAATTTTTCTTGTGATTACAGCATTGATTAAAACTACCTCATCTTAGTGGTGAATCCTTTTCTCAGCTAGTTAATGTCAGTAGATTTAGTTGGCATTAATTTGCTTTACCTTCCTCCTAACTTATCCAATCAATTGTTAGTTTTCACCTTTTCTCAATTAACTGTAGTATATGTACTATATCAGTTATCTCTTTCTGGGTTCATTATATTGCACTGCAGTGGTGATATAAGTGTACTAATATGTTTCTAGATAACTTATAAACTGTAGAAGTTATTAAAAGCCTGGTTTATGTATATGAGTACAGTATTTCAACAATACCAAAATCCTTTAATCTAGTCATACTTTTGTGTGTTTTAAAGAATTAAATCATAAGCTGTACTTCTTCCTAATAACTAAGTCTAATTAACAGCTTATGTAGTACTGAGTATATGTGAAATTTTGGAAACTTATTTTCATCTTGTGAGTTCTTTCCCACTCAGGTGCTGGGTGACCACTGACCAGTCAACAACAATAAGAGTCTCCCCTTAACTACTCATCCTAACTCCCTTGTCAGCGTATAATACATAGTCATAAATTGTGAAGGTAAGGGATGACATATGATACATTATATTAACAAAATACAATACCCTGTACATCCATTAAACACCCTAGTTTTTGGCAACCTAATACATGAACCTATTTACTGTTATTTGAAACCAAACATATTAATTTCTTTATTTTTAAAAATCATTAAATCTCTCATTTGCCAATTTTATTCAGTCTGTGAAGAGGATTAATTCCATTGGCTCAAAACATCACGTCAAGTAACTAAAGACCAGATCAATTGTGCAGAGTGCCAAGATGGGAGGCAAACTGATTTGAAGCATTTGTGTGTTATGGCTATTGCTGCAGGTAGAAATATACATGTGAGTAGCATAAAAAAGCAAATTACATAACAATTGCAATGTCAACCAACTTCTATACTGCAATGTGAAGTGCATTATGTTAATATGCATGTTATTACAGTATTTTAATTAATTTTAGACAAAGTTAATGAAATTTTCAGAAATAAGGTGTAAAATGAATATGAAAATAAATCTGCAAATGAAAATAGTAGTGTGACTGTAGTAGTATAGTTCCTGCTAAGGTAAAAAGAGGTTTTGTTTTAATTCATATGACAGTAGAAATGGAAGTAGATTCACTTACACAGTAAAGGAGTGTGTTGAGAGGAGGAGCTTAGAAGGATTATGTTGGTGAGATGGTTTGAGCTTGGAGATGTGTCAGGATGAATGGTATCACTCACTCCAAAATGTATCTTTATGATTTTGTATTAAACAATATGACACAATGGCCGAAGGATATTGACAACCCTACCGAAACAAGAGATGCAGCGTTCATTTTGAAATTCATCTGACTCATCCAAAAAGATACTTTTAAGAGAGTGTGTGTACATCAACTGTCTGGAGAAAATGTGAGGACAGTTATCATTCTACAACAGTGGGAAATATGACAGAGTAATCTACCATTTCTGAGGTAACTGTTTTGTATTTTTCTGTTACAGTGTTTTTAACACTTGCAAGTAATTATATTTATTGAAAGAAAAATTTCAAAATCAAATGTTAATGATGTATGTATATGACTGACATTATCTAGAAAAGCCCCTACTCACCTGGTGTCTGGCAGTGTCGACATTATAACTAACATATCTTTTGAAAAAAAAAAAAGAAGACTGAACTTTTGAAATCCCCTCTTTTATGGCCACAGAAAAAACATGACCAGTGAAGAAAATGTCACAACTTATTTGAGAGTTGCTTGCTACTTCCACACTGAGACCAATGGCAGCTTGTTATCAAGTGTATCTCTTAATGTAAAGTACAGCTTTAAAATGGAAAAGAGGTAGAATAACAACTTTTAGCCAATACAGTAATGGATTGAAATTCCCATTTCTAATCTTATCTTCTCTATCTGATTCACATTAGTGTACAAAAGAGTTCTGCCACACAAAATTCTGAATCTCATACTTGCCCATATTTGTACACCTTACACAGAAATTCATGTTTAACTTTACAGAGATTAATATATCCTCTATCAATTAGAGAAGTAAGCCTCATTGAAGCAAGTCTAAGTATCCAAACACTGATGGGTTATTCGACCATAGAATGAGGAGTACTAAAACATGATTTTGAAAAAAGGGCGGGTCTCCCAAGAGTGTCCACACTCACCAAAAACTTTTGGAAAAGGTATGTTTGAGAAAGGTATTCCTAGATAAGAACTTACAAGATGATTTATCAACAAATCTTCTTCACAAAATACAACAAGAAGAGATAACCAGAAACTGTAAAAATTATACCTTAATGCTCCCCATCACAAGGGTGTTTAATAAGTAACTCTTGGTCTCACCCACAGTGCAATCAAAATTTAAAATAGAAAACTAGTCCTTCCATAACAAGGGTCTGCCAGGTACTGTACTGTTTTTTCAAGATCTATACATTATCTTATAGCCCTTTCACATTATTTATAGTTGGGCAAATCTCACCCACTTATTGGCCAATAATGCTGCCTTGTGGCTTCTGTCCAAAATTGGGTTTGGGATTTTAAATTTAATAAAGTTGCAGGATCAATAACGAGTTCTTTTTAAAAAAATTGACGGCTGTGCATGATACAAGATGACGTGAAGGAGTCTGGGAACTGTTCGGTTCTTATTGACACAACCTTTGTCATCAGCCAGCCAGAGGGTAAATTGAGCTGGCCTGAGATATTCTATTAGTGGACTAGGTTATAAAAGTTAAATTTTCAAAGAAGATTCCTTTATATTACCCCCAAAGAAGCTACCAGTGAGTGGTCTGTGGAAGAAGAACTGAGCAGAGTTAAGGAGTACAGTATCTCATTAGAGGCAGCTGTGAATCCACTTTAACCTGAACCAGTGGTGGGAGGGGGTCACTTTCATATAATAAAAAAAATAGATATATATATGTATATAATCTTATCTTCTCCTTAAAATTATTTCAATTATGGAAAACACTTAAAAAAAAATAATCTAATGGAATGAATGGCTGCTTATTGTTTGTCTTCTGAATTCTGACAGTAAAAAATACTGGTGTGATTTGGCAATGGATGTTTTGTAAACCCTCCCTCTTAAAAAATCCTAGATCTGTCACTCATGGTCTCGGGAAGCTATCATAAATTTGAATATCCTAAGTGGCTTCTTATTGATTCTAAGGTATTGTACGTATGAGGGAAACTGAGTATTTCATGGTACAATATTTTAAAACAGGATTGAAGCTCATAATTTGATACTGTCATCAAGTTGCCTTGATAACAAAAGTCAGTCATAACCTCCACTGTTAAGTAGCTGATCACTGGTATATTTACTAGGTGTCACACACCTTTAAAATGACAGTGACCTGTAAATAACACTCTATACTACATGACAAAGTATGTTAAGAGTCGCAGACAGCTCATAAACTATTCAGAAGGTTCCTCACTTTGTGGACTTTCTGTGCACTAGCAGGAACTGATTATACTCACTATACACAGGATCTTTATGGTACAGTACTGTATCTTAACATACATCAGTGCTGATCTAGCCTAAACGTTAAGGATTTCTCAGCACCAAGACTGAATTTGTTTAAATACAGGCTAAGCCAGCATCTGGTTATGGTGGTAGCAGAGTGGATACTACACTTGCTTCTTGCCTAGGGTTGCTGGTTCACAATATGGACACCCCCGAACCAACTCAACTGTGAATGGATACTTGACATTACAATTAGAGAAATAAAAGCAATTGCCTCCTCGTGTAATGGAGGCTTAGTATTCAGTGTGCCAAATATATACGCCCCTCTGGGCTTTTGAGTCACAGGTATATTCAAGAGCCAGTAAATAGTCAGTACTGCCTGTGATGAAGGTCTAAGCAGATGGCTATCTTATGAGTGACTTGTAAAGTGACAAAGGGCAAGGTGTGTATAACCCCCTGACCATAACAAGGGGACAGGGAAAGGGTAGTTTTTTGACATGTGAGATCAGAGATATTTTAAAATGTCATCTTGCAAGTAGATCTTGCCTCTGTGACTTGGCTTGTGTCTGCTGCATTTTAGTCTGCACTGGGAAGTTAATTCAAGGTTATACATGAAATAGCAGGTAATTTCTATCTGGAGCATGAAGGTTGTTTCCCTAGGTCATGATTGCTATACTGTACGTACTAGTAAAAATAGTGTTCTTAAAAAATAAATACCTTGTACTGGTACTGTAATTAAAATTGTAAAACCATTATCCAGAGATTTAAATCTTTTTATTACGGGTGGTGAAGCCATACAGAACTACAGTACAGATGTGAAGCAGACAACTCATAGCAACTAATCCTTGTTGATCATTCAGTTTTATCACAGCACCTGTTCCCTTACTTCTGGTAGTTCGTGTATCTTTATGACATTATCTCCACACTTCAGTAAACAGTTCACATTTGTTCAGAACATTACTAATGGTTTAAAACTGTAGGAGAATTTTTGATTAGTCATGACTGCATTTGGTGGAGAAGGCAAGGGCCCAAGAGATGGGGTGGCCTGGGGGGATTACCTGGTACTGTACAATTATTTCATCATCTTACAGAGCTAAACAAACAGTGTATTTAAAATACTCTGTAACATTCAATGCCATACTATCCTGACCACTGGGGACAGTTATAAGAACCTTTGTGACCTATACTTGCAATCTTTTTGCACTACCGCTCACAGGATGTCTATGGGGTGCACAATAAACAAATGAGTTGGGGTGCACAATAAACTAGCCATGTGGCCAAATTAAAAAAAAAAGCAATTGACAATGGAACCTACTCGTCAATTATGAATTGTTTCTAATTTAACTTTTTTATTATATGTTTAGAAACAAGTGTATGAAACTTTAATATTTAAATTAACAAGTTTTTCACACACCCCTGACAGGCTACCACATTGTATGGTGCTGCATTATTATTGAGTACTATACCAAGCTTTCTTTGTGCTCAAATTATGACTCGGTGCAAAATGTGGAAAAATAGTTAATCTTATGTTGAAAATGGCTATTGCAATACTGTACTGTACATGATTTCTAATCTAAATTCCTTAGAACCAAGTAGTAGTCAAAATATGGATCTTTTGGATTATAAGTACTGTACTGTACCAATCTTTTCACACAAAAGTGGCCCAGAAAAAGGTGCACCTTCACTGTAGCACTGATTGCTTAAACCACTTGTAAACAATCTTACCAAGATCAGTTAATCTAGCTTTGTGTGTAGTATTACACTTTACAGTGCCTTTATCTGAATCACTCTCAGCATAAAACTTTAAACAGGTTTTCATATTGTTTTCTGGTGTACAGTAAATGGTCATGTTACCAACACCAACAAATTCTCTAAGTTCATGCATTTTCTCTAATTTCTATTGAATTTCAAATTTTGGCATATTTTTTTTTTTTTGGCACTCCCCTCCCCTACATCCTTGTGTAAGGTGAAGCGCAGAAGCGTTTACAGCGCCCAACAGGGAAGCATGCTAAGTTCATGCTTGCCTCATGTCTCATGAGTTAAGGGCGTAGAAGCCTGAAGAGTCAATGGTTTATGTCTAAGCAAGTTATTGGAAGCTCCAACAACTTGTCCCTGAATACAAATTCGCAACTTTCGATTTACAACAGGTACCTACTTTGCTGCTAGGTGAACAGGGACCAAGGGGACTAGGAAGAGTGTCCAAACAACTTCCGCCAGCCCGGGAATCGAACCCGTGACATCTTGCTTGAGAGGCAAGAGCGGTACCGCTCTACCACCAGCGCCCCCTTTTTCTGCATAATGAACATAAGAATGGAGGAAACTGCAGCGGGCTTATTGGCCTATACTGGACAGTCCCATTTACACCCAACCCCTGTCACTCAAATATCAATGGTAAAAGTACATGTACAGGTCTGTAACACGCTTCCTCTTCACACCATTATACTCAGCAATATCACTTTGACATTTGTTATATACCTTGATAAGGGCAGAATATGAGCAAGAACCAAAGAACTGAATGAAAAAAGTATGGAGTCAACCTCCTCAAATTCAAATTGTAAATATTGACAGAACAGTGATCCTTGGAAACTCATGCCCAAACATTCAAATTTTGGATGTTTTCAGATTTTCAATTTTTAGAACATAGATCATGTATTGTATGTGATATTTATTGTAAATTTGTATGAATTACAGTTTACCTAAAAGGTAAGTATCATTTGAAATCTTTTTTATTCAAATCCCTGACAGGAAAACAACATTCCTGTACTTCCCGTATACTGTACATATTTGTTAATACAGTACAGGGGGCCCCCAAATTCCCGGGGGTTAGATTCTAAAAATGGCCGCGAATTGCCAAATCTGTGAATAACATTTGCGGACCGGGGGGTGTACATTTTTACTTGTGTACAAAGAAATGTATATTCCCTTTATGTGTTTGCCCTTAGGACAATTATTTCTTTTACCTGTATTGTATATATGTGTGTGTGTGTCTACACACACATATATATTTACAATACAGGTTAATGCCAGCAACTTTAAAACTACCCACAGACATTCTTGGGTACATCTAGGGTGTCATCCTCTAACATTAGAGGACTGTGAAATAAAAATCTACAAGGTTGGGGATCCCCTGTATATCTTTCTCATACAGTATTACTCTTCATGGAAACCTTTGTTTCTGACAATACTGCATAGGGTAGAACCCCACCTCCCTCAAAGAAAAATCCTCCAATCACTTTCTTCCAAAGCCCTTGCCTTCGAATCCACCAATTACAGGCAAGATAATACAGTACAGTACTTTTATCTATTCCCCTGCCACCGAGGCTCCATACACACTCCCACTCCTCTCAACCTATATACTGTATACTGTTAATGAATATGTTGTACTATTCCTTTGTGTATGAACCTCTGTCCTCCATGGCACGGAGAAGTGAAACCACCCTCAGTATCAAGATCTGACTGAATTACTCAGAATAGGCAAACTGTACTCCAAGCTTTGTCAATAAATTTGTTAAACTAAACTAAACCACTCCTCTCACTGTTTCTAAAATTCATGATAATGAGAACATAGACATACTATTTTGGATTCATAAGTGACACAAAGGAAAGTTACTATGATCAGTAAAGCTCAGGGAAAAAAGATTTGTGTACAATTTAAATAATATAATTTTTAAGGATTAATACAGTATTATTATAAAATTATTTCTTCACTTATCATACTTTACTTATACTGTACTAATTATCAACTTTAATCAGTATCAGTTGTTAAAATCAGTTCTAATTAATATCAGTTTTTAAATCTTTTAGTTAACTGTTTACTGAATTTCAAATTTCACTCAGGTATTTTAGTACCAGGGAATGACTATGTCACTTATTTATGAGGTGAGATTAAGCTGCAAGGGAATATATTTCTTAATTAAAATAAAAACCTCAAAGTAATAATCCCCGTACTCTAAAATAAATGATTTGATGTAAGGTAAACTAGGATATCTAATTCGTTTGTTGACAAGGCTGTACTGTACATATATCATTAACCTTGAGGTACAATCACTTGCAGTGTTAGTCTGGTATTGTACATTATGTCTGGAAAGATGGAAGCTAAGTTTGAAAAGCCTGAGTCTACTTAAATGCTTCTGGTAAGCAATGCAATTATGTGCACAACAAAGAAGACTGTTCTACTTATTACTACTACATCTATAGACACCAAAAATGTACATTAGTTTGTAAAAGTTAATAATAAAAAGCATTAAAAGTACATAAATGCAAAAAACTCTTAATAGCAAAATTAGTTGTGTCGTATCATGATAAAAATATATTTCTGCACATAAAGTAAGATATGTACAGTATTGTTAGGATTATGGGCATTATGACAGTGCACATCTCAAATCTCACGAGAAAAATATAAATGTCTGTACCCGGTAAAAGAATTTTTTTTTTTAATTTTAAGTATACAGATCCAGTACCTTTTTCCATACTACTTGAAAATGAAGAACTGATAAAATTTATGGCTTTCACAATTTCTTTGGTACACCTAAAACTATGAGCATAAGTAACTCAAAACAGCACTACAGTACACATAAAATTTAAGAGAATGCAATTCAATTAAAAATTATTTTAAAGTAGTAAAAGAAAAACACTCATTAAGTGTAAGACTATTAGTTTCTAATTTCTTGCTTTATTCTCCTGTGCTCGTAAAGAAAGATACTGTAGTCACTAAAAGAATACACAGGTGTAGGATTATGTATATTATTGGAGAATCTCTTTAAAGGGGACAGGTGTCTCTTAAGGCCCTCTTAGTTCCGATGCCTATGTAGAAATATATTTAAACTACAAGCAAAGCTGCTTAATAAAAAAGGTGACACCTGTCAACAAAGGACATTGTATTTTGATATGCATGTACTGTACCTAAGATACAATTTAAGTTTTTTGAAGAGCTATGTACCAGTATTTAAATTACTATAATATTGTGTTGTAGGCTCAAATATCTAAATATAATAGTGTGAAAGTTCATAGTTTAGTTAACCACAACATATGGTTAAATTGATTATTTACATGTGTACAGTTATTAACAAAATAAATACTATCATGATTTACAATAATGCTTATATTTGCTTCCCTTAACTATAGCCATTCAAACTATACTCAGATCAAAACTTTAGTAAATAAAATGGCACTTAAAACAAAGGAATTAACCAATATTAAGCTCACACTTTGTCCTTTTATATATATATAGTATCTCAACAATAACTATGGCAATGAATTTTTTCTAGTCTTAAAGGAGGTTTTTTCTCTATTGCTCAGGATGACTGGAACCAGGATCAACAGTGTCTCCTTTAGTAACTCTTTCAGCTAGAAGTACAGTAATACAGTATGGGAGTGGAATCAAGAGTGACGCTGACCTTCCCTTGCTGACTCTTTTAGCTATAAATATAGAGAGAGGAAGACCATGAAGGAGGTGGAAGAATTGGGTAATGGACACATTTGTGGGAAGGGGGATGGGCATCATGGAGGCAGTGGAGTGTGTGAATGATACCAGACCAAGAAGTTGACTAGTTTTGGACAATGTTGCAGCAATGACGGTGACCAAGGGTTTACTTTTGGCTCTGGCCTTCCTGTACTCTTGTGGGAAAGGGTCTGACAGTCTGAATTTTTTTTAGATTTTCTTCACTTCCCTCCTTCTCTTTAGTACCTGTGCACTGAGGACACTAGTACATATATTATTTATAATCTATCATGATTTATACTATGCTAAATCATCAAAAAAATCTCTTATTTCTTTCTCGAATCATCAGTAAAATGTAAATTCTTTCTTCAATGATCCTGCCACAAAAATGACTTGTAGTATGTACTCTACGAAATTACAACCGAGTCTGTATGTGAAGCATTAAGATAAGCACAGTACTGTATACCTAATGTTAGCCGAGACCTTCAAGATCACTTGAGTAATATGTTGAAGACACAATTGTATGCAGTTTGAGTAAAGACTGTGATATGATCCAATCAGTTCTGAGCCAGTGAGAAGTAAGTATAGTACATGTTTATTGTCTGTTGTAAAGTTATCAGTTAACTGATTGTATATAGAATTCCATTTACAGTATTTTCTCGATTCAACGAACTAATTCGAGCCAACCCTGTACGTTAAATCAAAATTTCCGTTTAATTGAGCTTTTCGTTATTTTTGCTCTTAGAGTTGTTACTTGAAATAAAACAATGTCAGAGTAACAATTTTAAAATCACTAATCTGCCTTGTTGCCAGATAGACTACCACGAATGCATTAGCAATGACATCAGTTAGAGGGTGTGTTTTCTTTCTGCTACTGGGGATGGAGATTGATGCTGCTTGTGAGGTAGCCAAAGATAGAGTTATGATGTTGGACCTCAGGTTGGAGCTGTGTTGAGATCTACTAAGCTCAGGGAGTGGTCTATCAAGACTCCTTTGTGGACCACCGAGCATTGCCTGGCTCCTGTGTGAGTAAACCCCGAGCCCTACCCTATCCAGAATGTTGGAGAAAGCCCTGTTATGTCATCCTGTAGGTGTTACTGTTGATGAGCTATAAGAAATTTACAGTATAAGCATCAGGTATGGTACTAAGTAGTGTGTATATTTACTTTTATCCTCTTTACCACTGATTGGCTTGTTAACCTGTATGTACTATGGATGAGTGATAAGTGACCCTCAGACTGTGTATGAAGAGTCCAGTGAGCTTGTATTAATGTGCTATCACTAAAACTCCTATTTGTTGGTCCTAGGAAGTTGACAGTGTGCCTTTAACCAGGTGCTTACCTTTAATAAATAGTAATTAATTGTTATTATGCATCACCCTTCCCTCCTCCAGTATACCGATAATTTGAAATGCTAGAAAATATTCAGAATTTACTTGTCGTGACCTCTTACTATCTAGCAAATTAATTTAAGAGGTATTAATGCTGAAGACCAAGTTTATGTTATGTTAGGCACGCCTGGGCGGTGGCAGCATATCATAATTACCAGTTAATTAATTAATGAGAAAGATGATAATTGGTTAGTATAAATTCCCAGGATTGCCTAGATGAAATATCTTGGACAGGGTAATTAAAATGAAAATAAAGACGATTGTTTAAGTGTGGTTCAAAGGAGGAAAGCAGAGGCAAGGGTAAATAAAAAAAATTTATAAAGTAAATGTAAAGCACTTAAAACCTCGGCAGATGTATTCAACACACTTCATGGGGTTATACAGTACAATTAAGATGTGACTTTTTAAACTCAAATAGTATCCACATCCTTCTCCTTCCAACCATTCACCATAAAAAATTCTTCTCTCTAATAGGGTAGAGTACAGTACTGTACCTCAAAGCTTCTCCCATAAAGTAAACGCTTGACCCATATTCAAATAGGGACGACACGAGCAGAATTTACTCCAACTATCTTTAATTCTTCAACTATCATGACAACAAACAATATAGTATCTTATATCTACCGTTTTTATGCGATGATGTTCAAAATATTTTAGTGTTTCTGCTGCCGTGTCCCAGGTTTGTAGCTGATAAGTGATGAAAATTATAAAAATATAAAATAAATAAAGAATACATGATTGAACAAAAACTGGGGGTTAATTCATCTACAGTACTACACACGAGCAGGAGAATAAAATAAAGAATCATCATATACTGTATGTTAAAGCTGCCGAGAAAAATGGAATAAAAAGATAAATAACAAGAAAACTAACAGTATTGCGGGAGTGTGTGAAGCTGATTCCATTACCATCCTCAAATATAAAACAAAAAATCATCCTCGAATATATGGCAACAAATTAATTATCTGACAAAAATATTATAATAATTCAAGAGTTAACCAAATGGTTTTACAAGGAACTTCTCTAACAAATTTTCACCTTTCAGCTTTGATACCAAGTATAATTTAAATGGCTATGTTTTCTGCACTCTCTTACTTGGGAATTATGACCGCTGAGACAAGGGTTAAACGTACCTTCTTCCGGCTACCACTGAGGAATTCTTTGTACATTTCTGAGCGCAGATACCGCGAATAACTGTCAGACTTCATTAGGTGATACAAATGTGCCTGTAATAAGAAGAATTCAATAAACACTATGAAAATAATCCACCTTATTATTGTGCTTTGAATCCTATTGACATGCAGCTCTCATACTATGTCCCTTTATCCTCTACAGTTTACAGTTACATGCATAATATAAGATTGCTATTAATATATAACTTAAGAGAAGGATAAGATCATGTAATTCAGGGAACAATAAGAACAGGAATAGCTAAACCTATAATCTATTAAAATTTTAATATCAATTACTCTATAATCTGGTATTCCAAATAGAATTTCTTTCATATACTTGTACGCCTATACTTATTCTCCTTCATCTCAATCAGATTGATTGATGTTATTCCTCTAATATAAAGTTAAAAAAAAGACACAGCTCTACACCACCACTCTTCCTTATCAACTGCTTCTGTCGTGTTTCATTTACCGGTATTTCTTCCTCCCTCACCCTTACTTTTAGTGTTATCCTCTTCACCACAAATTGGCTCGTTAGCCGCTTGGGCGATCGGTCACGTCTCTGTTACACATTGCTCCAGTGTTAGTCAAGCCTGGTCTTGAAAGAGCTTACACTCGGTTCCGTCACAACACTTAATAGTAGATTGTTTCAAGAGTTCACAACTTTCGCTCCGAAAAAGTTTGCCCTCACAGTTTTCTGGACCTGCAGTTTCTTCAATCTTGAGCTGTGACCCCTTGTGGGGCGAACGTCCACCAGCTCCAAGTAAGGACACTCGACTGAGTAGTGCCCCCTGAGATGCTTATATACCTCAATTAGGTCACCCCTTGCCCGTCTGTAGTATAAACTAGGCAAGTTCAGGCACTCCAATCTCTCAGGGTAGTTGAGGTGCCAAAGTGCAGGCATCAGTCTGGTGGCCCTCCTTTGAACATTTTCAACCAACTGACAGTCCCTAGCATATCTCGGGGACCAGATGAGGAAGCACTTCACTCCGGGTCCGACTAATTACCCAAATGTACCCAAATGTAGCCGCAATGAAGTCAAACAATGGTCCTACATGAATTAATCGGGTTACCAATCACTTCTCGACTAGTATTTGGTGTCACGGTCACAAAAAATTGGTAAACTTAATTTAATCTGAGTTAATAGATCAAGTGCATGTACCTAACCTAACCTAACCTAATCTAATCTAGTCTAATCTAACCTAACCTAATCTAATCTAGTCTAATCTAACCTAACCTAACCTAACACAACACAACTCAGATTAAATTAAGTTTACCAATTTTTTGTGACTTTATGACACCAAATAATAATCGAGAAGTGATTCACAGCCCGATTTACGCTTGTAAGACCATCATTTGACTTCATTGCGGCTACATTTGGGTAATTACTCGCTCCCTCGGTACATGCACGCGATCTATTAACTCAAATTAAATTACGTTTTCCAATTTTTTTTTAACTTTGTGACACCAAATACTAGTCGAGAAGTGATTAGCAGTCCGATTTATTCATGTAGGACCATTATTTGACTTCATTGCGGCTACATTTGGGTACATTTGGGCAGTGCAGGGTTAAGACTTTCGTAGGCCTTAGGCACCTCCAAGATATGGGGCCCCATTTGACAGCATATTCACTAATAACACAAGCTAGTACCTAATTATAAAATGGAAAAAAAGTACCTCAGTATCAATTTAATAATAACCTGTAGAAAAAGGGGAAGAAAAGTTCTCGCATTATTTTTCGTAGGCCCCCAATATCTCGTAGGCCCTAGGCACTGTGCCTACTGTGCCTAATGGATAATCCGGCACTGCATTTGGGTAATTAGTCAGACCGCTTCACTCCTCTAGATAGTTACGACACAAAATTTGAAATTGCAACTGTAGGGAGGTACTATCGCCTGGGAAGATATTGGAAGCATAATGTATTGTCTAATGGTGGACCCTGCTGCCATATAGCATCACGAAAATTGTGACCAAGTCCCAGGTTGCTGATCTGACTTTCTGCCTCATTGACACCCAATTGCAGGGTCTCATTGTTTCTCTTACCATTGACAAGACAACATACATATATTGTTTGTGATTATTGTCATTGCGTGAGTAGCGATCACTGGCAACTCAGGGATATATATACCCCCGCATCAGGCAGGACGAGCGTCCCCTCACGCCGCCCCAATGTTTGTTCCAGGTATGTTTGTGTGTAGCCATTCAGTTAATTCAGTCAATTGTAGTGAAAATCAGTGTTCATGCTTTAACAGTTGAATTGTCATTCACCCAGTGTAAGAGAAGTAATATAAGGTAAATATGTCTGTCGTCTAGACAAGAGAGCTGTTTGTGTTGTCATGCTTCCCAGTCCGTCCCCTGACGCCGCCCCAACGTTTGTTCCAGATCCCATTGTGATTCTTGCATCGCTCAACAACTGCCCCGGATGTAGTAGATACCCAGCAGGGACCATATATGAAACGATGGCACCGATGCTGCCTGATTAATGTGCTCCATTGCCTCGTTGGGCCAGACCCCAGACTCGCCATGTGTCTAGCTACCACACACAATAACAACGGTCGTTAAAATAGACATAAGAAATTCACCTGACCCATGACACTGATTTTCATAGTACCACAGCTGATTTAAATGTATTTTCCGTCATTGGATGATTAGCCTTTCTGGCATGTCTAGCACACAAAGGCCTGAGTTGCCAGTTAGCAGTATATAAACTCGTGTACGAGGAGCAGCGTCACATCTCTGACGCCTCTCCATCACTATCTCAGGTATGTGTATAGTTCTCACGCCGGTGCTAGGACAATTCATCTCCCGTCAATTCATAGCCAGGTCAATTCGTCAGTAAATTTGATTTGAATGGTTTACAATTTGAACCTAACCTAACCTAACCTTCATAGAGTGCTGTATAGGATTATGCATTGCCTTGTGTTATCTACTTCTGGCTATATTTTGTTGAGTAGTTACCGTGTTATCTTGTGATTGTTTCTTGATTGTCCGAGTAAGGAGATATCCTCTTTTCCGGTTGTTTATCACCCTTGGAAATCCCTGGCTTTTGACTCTCCTGTTTTAAAGATCCTGAATAGGTTGGTCAGGACTGGTGTGACTGACGAAGAATTGACCGGCGACGAATTGACCTGGTGACGAATTGACCTGGCGACAAATTGACCGGCGACTAATTGACCGGCGACGAATTGACCGGATGCCCTCACGTCCGCCATATTAAGTCAGTTTAACTCAGTTGAATTTTGTGAATGCAGTATCAGTGGTCTTGTTGTAACAGTGAAATTATCCTGTACCCTGTGAAAGAATTAATGTAATGTAAATACCATCTGTCGTTGCCAGACGAAAGATTGTTTGTGATTGAGTTATTTTTGTCACATCTTTGACGCTGCTCCATCACTATCTCAGGCACAGAGTGGGTGTTAATCTGAATACCCGGCAGTCACTGGGGGACCGGTAGGTGCATACCAGCTGGCTGTACTGCAGGATGTCGTTAATTCGACATGATTAAATTGTGCGAACCCACTGGATGAACTCCCTCATCGTGCGTCGGACTGCAACCTACCTAACAGCGCTCTTCGTTTGTTGTTGTGACACCCTGGTGCACTCCTCACAGTTATATGGGCCAAAGTCTTATTGTTGTATCTGATTGGGGATAACTAGCAGATATATAGTTGTCCCATGTTGAGTAGCGAACCCATAAATATTGATATTACCAGTAATAACGTTTGTTATGTGGGTTGTGAGTACATCATTCATATGTACTACCAACTGAGTTCTCGTAATAGTGCCATGTTGTTCGTTCCGAAATAACATGATGTTATAAATATGTTAATTTGGGATATTGTCAAGTGTGTCAAATAACCATCTGAATTGACAGCAAAATAATATAATGATTGTTTAATGTTGTAACCAAGAATTGAAGATCTGTTTTGCTACTTGTAAAAGTAAGACCTAAGGGTCCAGTCCTATCTGAGCGAGTAAAATAACATCTTATTTGTCAAAGAAATAATATAATAGTGATTTGATGATGTAACAAGTAATTGAAAATCTATTTTATGAATTGTAAAGTAAGACGTTAAGGTCTAGTCTTAGCTGAGTGTGTTAAATTGACATCTTATCCACTCTTAATCTAATAAATATTGATTTAGTAAACGACGAGTATCACCGCTCTATTCCTTCCAACATTTGGATCTCAGAAAATACTCATTAGAACTCATGTGCCAAAAGCTTGAGTCTACGAAGCTACCTAACAGTTCAATGAGGTATGTTATATTCTAATAAAAGTCTGGGTGGTGGCAGGCTACCGTTGTAAGTATAATACGTGTTGTGGAAGAATGACATGGCTATCCCAGACTAATCCATGGTATAGAATATAACTAAGGCAAGATAATAAATTGAGAGGAAAAAAAGATATGAAATCTGGAAAATAAAATAATATATATGACAGAAGAAATAAAGTATAGAAAAGAATATTAACTAAGAAAATATAAGCAAAGAAATATAAGATAGAAACTTATAGACAGAAAGACTTAGAAAATAAAATTAATATATATACAAGAAAAGATAAATAGAAAAATCTGTCTTAAACAGCTATTGATAAATATAGATAAAAGAAATAAGAATAATTTGAGTAGAATGAAAGGGAAACAGACAAACATGCTGCCCCCCCTCCTTACACCTCTTGCAAGTTTCCTGACAAAGGTTTGTAAATGAGTCATATCCAGCAGTAAAGAACTCGCATCCCTCTGGGTCGATTCTCCTGTTAATGTACAACAGTTCTACAACTCCTACAATATCTGGTTGGTGTACCTTCAGTAGTGTTTCAAACTCTTCTCTTTTATCAAGGAACGTGTCAGTATTAGTGTACATGACATTCAAGCCAGCATTTGTTCTCGGTAACGTCTCTGCTCTTAGTAGTAACTCCGGCACCCCTCCATTCTCAGAAGTTGCAGCATTTGCTAAGTACACTGTATTTTGTAGGGTGTGGTTAGAAATGTCATTGTTTACAAGGCGCTCACCTCGTCCCGGCTGGTAGGCAGAGCTGGTGCCACCTCCCA